GTGGAGTTTTGAAGCGCATTTTTCAAGACTTAGCGCATGGACTAGTAGATGAGGTTTGAACTACGATGTACTTGGCGGGTCTACTACCTAATTCCACCGAAATCTGGAAGAAGTCCATCTTGCCTGTCCACTGCCTTTAACTCATATAGATCTTCTCTTCTTTTTTGTTTAGATTCTATTATCTGTGTCGCTTCAAACGGAAATGCAAAAAAAGGCCCCAGATCACTTTTCCTAACCACTATATTAGGTCTTGGACAGAGTCCACGCGATTTATCGCCGCGATTCTACCGGCAAGACAAACAGTCATGAGTCCATCGCATGCCTATTAGCTTGCATCTCGGTTGTGGCATCTCCAACACGATCCTAGCTGCAACAGCCGAAATGCGAGATGAGCGACATGCAATAGACTCGTATCTGTTTGTCTTGTTGAGAGAATAGAATAGCGGCGATGAAATCGCGTGTGAATTCCGCCCGAGGCCTAAAACCTTTCAATCACTCTAGAACTCTGCAATGCTTCCAGACTATTCGCAAAATCACCGTTACCTTTCTATACATTACTGAACTGGATTTTTTTCTTATTTTTAGTTTCGTGTGCATCTAATGGTATGTAGCGTTGAACACGTCTGGATAGCTATGATATTCGATGAACAAGTCTATAGTAGAGTCTTCTCCATTTTTTATGCTGAATTAGTTTAGTCCCGAACGGTCCACTCCGCTTCCCCAGCGCCAGACTCAAGAACGAAGTGTTCGCTCAGGCGTCGCGCTCCCTAGACCTACGGGTAGGACTCCAATACTAAAACCGGTGTAAGTTCATGGCTGTTTCTTCTCTATAAAGCGTACTACTGCCTTGACCTTGTAGCCGAACACCGCGGACCGTTGCACAGCCTTCGTTGGGGCCGGTCACCCGTGCACGCAGTAAAGAGCTGAGAAGGTATGGTTGATTGCTCAGAAAACAGCAAAATTTCATCATACATTTAGTGCTGCCATCGAAAGTTCGTCCGTGCAATCTGTCGCGACTGTTGGTTCTCGCGGAACTGGAGTAAACTATTTTCTTCGATTTTAATGTATTTGGAGACTAATTTTTGATTTTCAGAACATTGAGAATGGTTTGCGGCAGCTGAGATTAGGCACAGAGCAGGAACGAGTGTCTCGCAGTCGTGCGCCACATACGACAACAAGCAGTAGATCATCAGCATTGCCACGGCAACCTGTACGAATTGGTCACGAACGTCAGCGACCTCCAAGTCCAGGTGAGCACCTTGAACTTTCAACTGTGGCATGGTATCTTAATTATGCTTTTTAGGATCCTTCCTTAGAAACGAAGCAGTTCCTAGTGCTCGTGAGTTTCGTCAAGAACTTCTTCATCGCAATTCCAGCCTAGGTAGTTGTCATCGTGCTGAGTCTACTCCTAAGGATGAACAGAAGCAGCCATCTACAGGTGGAGAACAACCTAAAGGACATGCCTTGCGTGAGTTTAAAAGCAGTGGACAGGCAGAATGGACCCCTGTCGGATTTTGGTG